ATATACTTTATATAATTATAATGATTGTATAATTGCATACATAATTGTATGCTTACAATTCCAAAACATGAAATATTTTTGGGAAACTGTAACGTTTACTTTATCCATCGAGAATGTAAAAGCATTGTTACTTTCACGCTAGTTGCCGAATCTATATTTATATGTGATGTTGATTAAGAAGTATAAAGCATAATAGACTATGTTTATGATAATTCTAAGCATTCACTGAGAGCATAATTTTTTATATTGATATTAAAATAAGCTGGTCAGTAATTATATACTATTAATAGGTGTATAATAATCAGGTGATCGTTTTTTTTTATCACCATCCTCGCTATAGCTGGAATTTAGGAAAGTTATATTAAATGTTGTGTGTCATTATTGTGAATAGGATTACGTCTATTCTCTTTTACAATAATATTTGATGAAGTAATGTGATTAATATGCTAAAATTATCCTCTTTTTTAAAATTTTCTTAAATTACGGCTAATTTTTTGATCTCTATAATAATAATTAAATTTAAGCATTGAAAGGAATATTTCAATTTAGGTATTTAATAACTACATATACATAAATATTTTTTGCGATTTACAAATAATACAATTTTTTTTCTATTAATCCATTACTGATATGTAAATTTAGGACGAATACCAAATAAACTCTTTATTATTTTTATGTGGATCTAAATTAGTACTTACTTAAACTGCAGGAAATTTGGAAGTGATTGCATTTATACCAAAAAGATGTCTTGTTCTTTAATTTCTTCGACATTTCTGTAAAATAATAAAATTTGTAAATACGATATTCGGGACTGCATACTCTTGCCAACAACAATTTCTTCCTAATAATTTAATCTAATTGTGATTGGAAGATGTATTATCTATATATCATTTATGACAAATGCGAGCTTTAGTAAAATCTCGTAAAAGATTAATAAAATAAGCTTTCGAGAATTATACATATATATTATATACGTATCCTATTCTTGTACTCTATCATTTTTGTACAGAATCTACGCATTAGAACCCGAAAAGATCGTAGCAACTGTTCAGTGTATAGTAGTGACTTTGGTCGCCGTCTAGATTTGATATTTTTATAATTCGCAAGTACAAATCTGAGAACGGCGAGTGGTACTAGCGAATTATTATAATTGCATTAGTTTTAATACAGCGACAACTCACATTTATTATCGATCCAAAGTGACTAGTACTGTCTGCTCATTTGTTATTACGTCAGTGCATTTTAACATTGATGACTGAATATCCTGTTATTATTATAGCCACGTTTATACAAAATCGTAATAAATATTTGTTGAATATCACTTTCTTATCGAGATAATTCAAATGTTTTCTTTCTTTTTATGTCAAAAAACTAGATATTTACAACAATTTGTGTAGTCGTGGCTCCGTTAAGTTGTCAATCATGTCTCTGTGATGTATTTTATGTTATATGACTGAATTTTCGTTGTTGATCGATTGCATTTTCTCGGCACAATGAATAATCTAATTATGAAATATTTTCCGTGTAAATAATACATAACTGTTGCTGTTACCAATATTTGATACAGTTCTATTACTTCATATGGGACGTTTCTGAAGAATCTGATCAAACTTTGAAAATTTATTCTACTGATTATTAGGAATGAAAAAGTTGATGTTGATATATTCGAAAAATTTCAATTCTGAGCTTTTTAAGATATCAATAATAAATTTTCAAAAATTAATTTGCAATTAAATTAAATTGATAAATAATTATTTTAATGACAAGTAAATTTCAGATCTTTCGAAAACATTCTGTATACATTTTGCACATTAACAGGCAGTGTAAGTAGCAGCATTATTTAAAGTCATTTGAAAATAATTGTCGCTTTAAACTTTAGTACGAAGATATATTAGGTGTGGGAAAAAGTTCGTGGCGTTTTTCCCATTAGATGACATTAAAAAAATGCCACGAACTTTTTCCCACACCTAATATTTAGTTGTCTTTACGCGATTTCTGAATTTCTCTACTCCACCTTGTAATATTTATGAATTTCTTATAATTAGAGGCAAATGTTCCGTTGTGTAATTTATGTCATTTGTACTATAAAGTACAAATAAAAATAAAAATCTCAAAAAATTCTGCAACTGAACATTTTCAAGTATTATTGCTATATTTGCATATTACAACCAAAATGTAATGAGGGGCAATGAATAACACGTAAGTATATAATTTTCTCACTCTTTTATATCATACGTAAATATATCGACATAGCTTTAAGACAAGATATACGCTCAGGAAGACTTATCCGCTAGTAATAGCTATCGAATTCGACGAACTTAATGTATATAATTTCTTTTTCACATTGAATACTTTGAATCGCAATTTAACGAACATGCGTAGCACATTTTAGAGTTACACGATTATTTACAAGGTTGTTTATAGTTAAGAAAAATGGAGATTTGTTTTTAGCACTCCTGAAACTTCAGTGACGATTTATGTGTGAATGATTAATATCGCAAATTACATTGTTATTAGAATGTATCACGTATTAAGTTCTGTTATTGCATCACGTTGCTAGTTCAGAAGGGAAACGAGTTTATTATATGATATGTGCTACAGCATTTGTGTAGTGCTACATCATTTTAAGTGGATCTAGTTATTCAGAATTTCTCTAGCGAAGATCTCAGAACGAGTTATCTGCGATCGGTTTTATATCGTTGAACATTAATCCTGCCTTTGCTTTTCATCGCGGTAATACGCGTGAATAAGTATCGATTAATATCAGAATGATTGATGTCTCATTGTTCTCTGTATCTGATTGTAGTTTCTTTTCCAAAGGCGTGGCATAGTGCTACTCCGCAACAATAATCTATTGACAATAATCTCATCTTTTTTCTCATCTTTTATTATAATTTGCAATAATTTATCTCGAAATCCCGCGAGTTATTAACATCTAACTGAATCATCCGTAAATTATTTTCTACCTTTAGAACGCGCGACGATTGCTTCGCGCGTTCTTTGGAATGAAAGACACCGATCTGATTGCAACAGGGCTAAAAATCGAACGCGATGGGTCCGTTCGGAAAGTCAGTTTCATAAAAGAACGCAGAGTTTTTCTTCCATGAAAGTGTCTTTCCTAAGTCGTTCGGTGGCAGTATAAATTAGTCTCGTTTAGCGCTCGTTGAAGCAAGATGTACGCCTCAAACTTCACTTCCTCGTGAAATCTCAAACACTTCCTCATAATACTCGTAGGTGGTACATTACGGTGTACATCTCTTTAGTACGCCGTATAATCTTGCCACGGTCTTTGCTGTCTGTATTGCGTTCCGCTGATCTGTACAGCCTCCGGCGTCCTGTAATACACTGCTCGACTCCGATCATTATTACTGACACTCGGTAGGAACTGATTCGGAATGAACGATTTTTGTTGATGCTGCTGTTGCTGCTGCTGATTGATTGGCCTGGAGAGCTTGTAGTTGTTCTCAGAAGGTTGTAACACGGTGTCTCTACCGAGCTGTCTGTGAAGAGGTAGAACGAATCCGCTCGGCAAATTAGCTTCTTGAACCAACGTCGGCGTCAGAGCGTCGTTTAGAGTAACATCGTACTCGCTCTCGGGAATATCCTGAAGGCGATGCGTTACTTCATTGATTCTTTGCTTTGCCCTGTAGCTACCTGGTCCTGATGGCAGTTCCTGAGTGTCCTCGTTCTTGTACGTCGAGCTGTAGATATTTGGCGTAGTCTCGATGGAAGGATGTCTCATTTTGCTGCGAATCGGAGAACCCGAGGATGTCTGTACATTGCCGACATTTGCGTGCTTTTCGCTCGAATAATTTTCTATCCATTTAGGCGTTAGATTCTCAATTTGATGGTTACGCGAATCGTACGACTGATTCTGAGTGGAGTATTCTTTGGAAGGGTTTGACAAATCTTCTGGGCCTCTCGAAACTCCCTCCTCATTATTCTTCTCTATCGGTTTTCGTAACGCCGGTCTGGCTATCGCGCTATCATACTCTTCCTGACGTTGTTTCTTCTGAAGATCACTTTGTACGGTTTTATAAGCGTCATACGTCTGCTTATTATCCGATCGCAGAGGTGATGCCTGATGATTAAAGTTTCTGTTATCTTCTTGTTCGTCTTGCACGTAATAATTCCTGTAGTCATTCTCGCCTAAAGTGCTTTGATGATCAGTTGTTGTCTCTTCGTCTCTTCTAGACGATTGCGGTGCTTTAGAGCCGACCGGTGATAATCCTCTCGGATTGGGATTACCGCCTCGAGACGGTAGGAAAGGCCTCTTCACGATTCGAACGGTGGTTCGAGGTGGAGGAGGAGACGGTGGCTCTTCCAATGGCTCGTCGTAATACTCGGAAGAGTATTCATCCGGATACGCGATTTGATGATTCTGTTCGTTTCTACCTTCTAGGTCTCTATCTTGGTAATCCACTTGCTGAGACAATCTCTGAGAATTCTCGGACAAATTTCTGTGATAATCCTCAATATCGCTCACCACACGACTACTTTGAGTTTGAATAGGTCTAGTTGGTCGTTCCGGATAAGATGGCTTTTCCGATCGATCGGTCACTGCGTCTTTAGAGTCTTCTTCAGGTTTATGAATAAGCTGTTCTGGTAAACAAGTCGTCGTAGTTGTTGTGGTAGAAGTGGTTGTAGTTGTAGTCTTCTCGGTTGTTCTATCGTTCGAGTTGGGTCTTCTGGATGCTTCAGTGGTATCCACTAGATCCTTCGATCTCGAGGAAGATCGCGATCGTTCGGCTTCTCTCTCGCGATCGAGAACCCGTGACGAGTACGGTCGTTCTTGTCTTTCAGAATCTTGCGACCTTCCTCGTGAATCGCGATCTGAGGATCTCTCGGGACTGCGATCTTTTCCACGCTCGAGAGCTCGATCCCTATTTCGATCTCTGTCTCGATCGTAGTAACGATCTCTCGAGCGATCCTGATGCGTTCTTAGTCGTACTTCTTCCGGCGGTGAATGATAACGAGTTCTAAAAAATGAATTATCATTATTATTAATTATAATAATTAATTATTGTTAATGATTATGAAGTTCAATGATTGCATTAAACTTTTTATAGATTGATTTTCACAACACCCTTTTATATTTATTATAAAGAGAAAGCAATTTTAAAATTTTATACAAAAATTTTTATGATAAAAAATATGTTATCAATAATTTATATCAATAGTTTCTTGATGTTATCATTAAAATAATTGAATAATTGAAATAATTAAGAAAAAATAATTGAATAATGAATGATAATTGATATAATGAATATCAAATTAGTGATTTATTATGATATTTGCTTTAATTACAATGATAATTATTGTTTCTTTAAAGCAAAATTTATGAACATGAATTTTTTTTTAGTAGTTTAGTTTGAATATAACTTTATCGGTGTTGTGTACGTTACCTTTACCTACCTGAGGGGACGATCCCGATCCCGAGTTTCATAGAAATCTCTATCTCTGTCTCTGTCTCTATCTCTGTAAGAAGGTCTTCTTCTGAGTGGCCTTCTCGGTCTGATATCCTCTAATTCATCATCGTAATAATCATCCTCTGCCAGATCTGCTGGTCGCCGTCGTGGCTCCTCTTTAATCACAATTTTATTTTCAAAAACCGATTTACTAACTTTTTTGTTGAAAATTTTTTCGAATAATTTTACCTGTTGGCTGCGCAGGAGTAGTTTTATACGCATATTTATCTTGTTCCGAAAGTGGTACTGGCCGTCTAATCTTTGGTGGTGTTCTTGGCCTCGAATAAACCGAAATACTAGGTGCAGCCGGCTTCACCAGACCTTCCGCATTAAATGACGCACTCGCCGAAGGTGCTGCAGGTTCCTTATCGTCGTAATCATCTCTATATCTGACGTGAACAGAATGTAATATCAAGTTTCGTAAGCATGTATCGTTCGAACAATATGGTATCTAAAAGTATTGTTGCATATATAAGATATGTCGAAGTGGTTTTCGATAGGATCAACATCAGCATGTTCTCACCTCTTATCGGAATATCTTCGTTCATCGGTATCTCTGTTTCTCGACTCTGGGCGTCTATCGTATACATCTGAATCTTCTACCTCTCTCGATGTAGATCTGATACCTTGATCCGGATTTCTTCCCCGAGGTCTCAAGTCATCCTCCAGCGGATCCCTCGACCTGGATGGGTCCCTTCTATTCCCCCTTGCCGGATATCTGTCCCTAGCGGTATCTCGATCCCTATCATCTCTACCGCGCGCTGGCGGATCCCTATCACGGAAGTCACGATCACGATCCCGATCCCTGAACTCACGATCCCGGTCCCGCCTGTACTTCCGATCGTCGTACTCGTAGTCGTCTCGGCCGATGAAATCTCGCGAGCGATCGTACTCATCATCATAATAATCTTCCTCATAATAATCATAGGGTCTTCTTCTCGCTGGAGGTCTTCTTCTAGGTGGAATTCGATCACGTCCAGAAGTTCTGCTAGTCGGCACAGTGACCGGCGCCACGGTGGTCGTAGTAGTAGTCGTAGTTGTAGTAGCTTGGTAAAGAGCATCGTTTCTGTGCCAATATTTCTTGGAGTTAGCACAGTCGACTTCGGATACGAAGTGACAGATGAAGGTCTTCTGGTCGAACGCCGTGAAATTGGCGCACAGGAAGTCATAGCGGGTGCCAAAGAGACAATGATGGTAGACCTTGAGGAGGACATACGTGTAATGTTAGAATTATCGCGACACGTCTACCGTATCAATAAGAATGGCGACGTTAATTGCGATGGCCATTAAGAACACGGAATGAATTTTGACGCTGGAAGTTTACGAAATCGAATCGCGATCGATGGGTGAAAGTGGGTGGCAAATTGGAGCCACATGTCAGACTTTCGAGATTTTTGAAGGCGCCTCGGTCGTTTTCTTTTCTGATTGCCTACTGCGGGAATCTCGTTCACGATTCGTTATGTTGACCGTCCTCTAGCAGTAACGAAACGTTGGCGACAGGATGATTTCAGCACACTTTTCACCGAGAACGAACGCGGGCGATCTTGCCGCACGCGCCACCGACGTAGCTTTCACACGGCGGCCGCGAATGTGCGAGTGCGAATAATTGCACGGAGTCGCATAAATGTACGTTGTACGGTATGGTCACGAATGAAAAAAAAACTCATGTCTGTGTGCGGTATTATCTGGAACGTACAAATGCCGTAGAATTATCTAGAGGAATTATCTAGAATCATTCAGAGCACATCCTTTCGATAAGTGTCCGGCACCGTCTTTCACTGATTGTGAGATCTTCGTAAAAAGTAGAAGCTCTGATCCTTCCAATAATCATGAATCTTACTCAATTCGTAACATGTACATAAATGTCAGACGATCATCGAACGTCTGATCGCACGTCTAATGAGTTTCACGCATATATGTGGGTATAAAATATTTCCATCGACATTATCATACAGTATAGTTAGAATCATTGTAATTTCACTGAAAGTTTTCTTTATTTCAATCTTTATTTCAAATCTTTATTTCAATTTATCTTCCAGATTTTATAATTAAGAATTAAACTAATTTAATTAATTATTGAACAAAATTATTGATTACATTTATTTTAATGAATCACATAATACTGTTTCGAAGATTCCGATCTTATAGATAATTTTAACTTTGGAGAATTACGGTGGAAAGTCGGTAAAATGTTTAGTTGGTTGAGACTTCCCTATAGCAAATGCAAAAAAAAATCATGGTTATTTGCATGAACTAGAGTTGGAATTATTCAGAATGCATCTTTCTTTCCGTATATGAACTTTTTGTATCTTTAGTGTCGTCAGTTATATGAGCGTTGTCTCCGCAAACGTTAACAATGTTACACCGTTCGGGAGTATTAATTAGCAGGATTCATTACAATTGTAAATTCTATCTGAGACTGGGAAGATTAGAAAATAATCTAAGCGATCGCAGGTGATTTCCGGGAAGCCAGTGACGAATTAATTGCTCATTTCCCAATTTCTCTTCCGCGACAAATCTTTCGCAAAACACACAGGATGACCGATCTTCCCGGTGGTCCTTTTTTCTACGCGCTGCGTAGAGTACGTCCCGGGCCGACGAACTCTGCTCGTTACATTTGCATGACAATGCTCCATTCGTTCTGCAGTCCCGCAAAAATGATCGATAAGAAAACGAGCCGAGTCCGGTCGGAAAGGGGCTACTTTGCAATCGCTTTCACAATTCTAGGAGTCGCGCGCACGTAAATCGCGGAACGGTCAGGGACGGGAAGCGTAGCAGACCACGAAAGTCCTCTTCCTCGGCTTCTTTCCACGATGACCTTGTTATTGCAGACGGCAAAAAAGATTTTTTCACTTTCGATATCGATTTCTAATTTATTGCTCTTGCAATAGACAATAGTCTTGCAATAGAAAAATTAATCGTGTACCTATCAATTATTTGGCGCTCCTTGAAAAGACACAACTACCTCAATTTTATCGTATTAATCGCAATGATATTATATGTTATATGCTATACATAACAATGATACATTATATGGCTATACATAGCAATAATATATCGCAATGTTTATGACAAATTTTTGATTATTCATATGTAATTGCCAATTACACGACTATTATCAAGATCTAGCTTTGTCGATTATCTTTGTCGTACGAACGAGAATGTATCAAAAATCGGCGATGATTTAAATTGCATTGTTCGACGTTGATCTTTTCGATTTTGTATAATAAATATTACTCATGCCTCTCGTTTGCTACACAGATATACAATAATTACTGCTTACTGTCTATACGGTAATTACTCCAGAACTATATAATTTTGTTTCATTCAAACGACGCGAATGAATCTGCAACGATGCGATTTCTCAATCGCTCGCTTTTATTTGCCGAACCCATGATTCCCCGGGTTCGTGCTGAGATTCACGGTGAAATGATCGCTCTCAACGATGCGATGATTGGTAAAAGTGTGCTCAATCGATACGTATTTTTTTGTATTCGCGTCTTGTCCGAGAACTCGCTTTCGTTCGTGGTTGCTCACGTCGATGTCAATGCTTATCAATCAAGCTTTCATAGATGGCATCGACCGATCACTGGAATCGAGTAATGATGATTGTTTTCCATCGATGTTAGAAATTAGAAGGCAATGCTCTCAGATCATTGACACCTGTTTATTACGCGAAGGAAACATTGGAAGATCTTTCTTCAGAATTCATTCAGGCGACAACTGATTTCCCTCTTGCCGCATTTGAATTGACATCTTTTTTTTAACGAAGAGGTAATTCTACTTTATTATCTGTTTAAAATTGCGTAGCAGTATCTCGTTTTAATAAATGGACTTTAATTGACGTATTGTTTGTTATGACGGACATTATTCGACATAAAAAATTTGCATTGCTTTTACACTTTCTTTTCAAAGATGCCGCTATTTTCTCGACTAGATACTATTTTTATAATTAATGTAATTAAATTTTAATTACCTGACACTTGTGTGGCACGCTGGCGTAGAATCCGTCGTGTAAGCCGTCGCATTTGAAATCGATATCCTCGGGTATACTATTGTAAAATGGATAATCACTGAGATTATAGCCATTTAATTCGCGCGGTAAATTCGGATCCCATATGTAGTCGATCTGTGGAATTCCCGTTAAAGTGTGCCCAGTCGTTCCGTTAGTTTCGATCGTGACTGTTGTTGTCTGGAAAGTAAAATGAATATTGCAGTTTTTTCGCGATTTTTAACTAAGGACCATGACATACAAAAAAATTTAAGCAGTAAACAGTAAGCAAATTGATCAGTCACAGTAGAGACCATGACATAAGGCCATGACATAAGCAATCGCAAATCCAACATTGATTTCCTTATTGCTTAAGTTTTTTGTGTATCATGTATCGTGTATCAAGTTTTTTGTGTATAACATCAAAGTTAACATTATAGTATCGGAAAAATTTGAAATTAGTTTATTACAAATATGGAGTTGTCAGAAAAGTCATGATGTATTTTTGTTATATTTTTAATTCAAATTTATATATATCCTACATTCAATTATACCATTCGATAGAGAAAAGCTTCAGTTTTAAGAATCTGTTTTAAGAATTACGTCACGATATTTTTTTAATGGAGTTATGAACAATTAAAATCAAAATACTCCTTTTATTTAATCCGCGATAACTCAGTAACAAAAAATCGTAGGAATATTTTGAAAAAATGATTTTGCAGGAAAATCTGCAAGTTTTCATGATAGATAGTCGAAATTGTCTTCAAATTTTTTTTAAGCATGTTACAGTCCTACAAAGTGAGAAGAAAATTTTTCATTTTTTTCAAAGCTGATAGTCTTCTATATGTAAAAATTACCAAACTTACATAAACTCCTAAAATACGTGTATAGTAAGCTTTTGAAAGTAGAGACTTCAAACTTTAAAATTTAAATTTCGTTCATTTTTAACGAAGATATTGTATATACAATTTTGAGTTGAAAAATGCGTCGTGACTTTTCCGACGACGATTTGATATATGACTATATCAAATCTCATAAAATGGCTTTTATTTTCTACGGGAAATACCTCCGTTCAATATAATCGATTTTGCTATAATGACAATTTCCGCCTACCGTGGATGGAAAAGCGTGTAGACCGATATCTTGTAGAAAAGTTATTTCACGCTTGAAGAAGTCGTGTTATAATGATTAGCGATGAGCATTCGAGTTTGATACGATATTTATGGATACTCGAGTTCGATATGATGTCATTTCGTTTGTATACGAAGGTGAATCTGTCGAGCGTGAGTTTATTTGAACATTAATTGATTTGACGCCGACATACATTAATCAAAACGTTACGGCGCCTTCGCAGATACAGATACGGATGAATCCTGATGTTAAACCGGATTTACATGACGTAGAAATTTACGCAGGGCTGTCTTCGTGATTTGGAACGAGACACGCGATGTTTATCATATTATCATGATGATCAATGAGCTCCTTGCTTCCAAGATATATTACCAGTTAATTTACGTTGTGTTGCATTCGTGATATTTTCTTTTATTCGCAAAGAAACATTGGCGAAATGAAAACTCGTTTAGTACACGATCATCGTGACTATGGCGTCGGTTTTGCAACGATCGATAAAGGATTATGTTTCGCCTACGTCGTGCCATCTGAACGACACGATTGCATGATTTGAAACAAGAATGTATAATTCGAGTTCGATAATAGAAATATGTAAGTTACATGAAATGAATTTTTTAATCCTATCTATAATACAGTTGGAATGTTAAATTTAACACATGTACAAAATGTTTTTTTTTATTGTATTTATGTAAAATCCAAAATTGAATTTATCAAAATTATTTTAATTATAATCATTAATCTAAGATTGTATATCGGTTCTTAATTGATGCAAAATCATACTCAAATTTGAAAATATAATATCAGGATTTATGTAATTATTGATTTATCAAATACCCTTAAATAACATTGAATTAATTGTACTACTTTGTGGTTTGTTCTAAATGTGGTTGTCTTTTTTACATACCTCCGAATTCGCTTGATCATTTTCTTCCTCTTGAGGTACCTCGGTTGTGCTGGTGGTCGTTGTTGTGGAAGTAGTCGCAATCTTAAATTTTGGCCTTGTCTTGAGTGCTGCGGAGACAGCGTGGGCCAATAGAATTCCTGGAAAAAGCAATTTTGTTATTCAAAACGTAAAAATATATTAATGTATATTTAATAATCATTAGATAGCGTGGGTAGAAGTCATGATTTTCTACAGTTGCGCGAATTACGTCTGAGGAGTAAAAATAGTTCGGTTTGCTCGCCTGAGGAGTATATCGATGGCCCCGATGAGTTGTCTGATACATTAAGGAAAAAGGCCATCCACAAATTACGTAAATCACGAAGAAGCGTCGGCATTGCAAAACTTAGACGCGGAGTATGGAGTGAGAACCCAACATAAGTGTTGCAATTTTCTCTCGCCGAGCGAATGCATTTGGTTGGGTAATTGTTTTTAAACGGATCAAGGCTGTCGAATCAATTGATCGTTTCCTTTTCACGTTTTGTGTACAATATATGAGTCACATATGTTATAAGCTCATAATACGCTGCGTTAATCTTCAATCAATTATGGAAATTTTATTTTTACTCTTAGTAGATTTTTATATTTGTCTCTTTTATTTTTTTTTATTCATAACTTCTTATTTTAGTCAAATTCATATCCATCTCTCATATTCCATCTCTGTCTTTAAATTTACTCTAAAATAAACGAGGGATGC